GAGCCTGGATGGGATGGAAGCCCCAAAGCCACGCAGTGGCATTTCCCACTAACCCCAGTTTGGTGCTCATGAGGGTGGGAAAGTCATCCGAGCAGCTTTCCCCTCACTAGGACAAAGGATCTCCAGGAAGGCGATGGGACCGAAAATCCCCAGCTGGCTGCCCTTTCCCGGCTCATCTCTGCAAACCTGCCCCGAGGAATATATTTAGTCGCTGGATTCCTTTATGATTCTGACCCCCTGACATGGGCTGCAGGGCTGCAGCGGCTCCACTGTGACTGATGGTGGATTTCCTCTCCCTGCTGCCAGAAAACCAGTGGGACGGGGTGCGGGATGGGAAGGCATTTCCTCGGGCTGGGCGCCGCTGTCCCATCCGAACCCAGAGAGGGGGGGAAAACCCAGGCGCTGATCCCGAGCCGGGGGTATTTGTGCAGCTTTCCCACGTGCCTGGGTGTTCCTATTGACTCTTGTCAGATTAGGAGTGATGGAGAGAGCAGAATGTAAATGTGAGCAGGATCCGCCTGGGCTTCCTGGTCTCTCCCTTCCCTTTGCACAGGAGCGGGATGGCTCCGGTTTCTCGTGGGTTACAGGGATTTTGGGGTCTGGAGAGCTGGGATCTGCCAACTTCCCTTCCGAGCTTTTCCCCGGGACCCAATCAAAACCCCGCGGAAGCAACAACATTTTCCAGAGGAACTGATTAAATCTATTAAGCTATTTACAAGTGGGCTCCATCATCAGAGCTGTGTTATCTGGGAATACAACAGGAAGGCAACTTCTCTTAAATCTAAAAGGCGCAGGAGATTTCCTGGTCTTGGGACAGATTTACAAACCCTTTACACACACACACACACACACAAGGCCTGCACAGAGCAGCTGGCTTTTATCTGGGATTTGGAGCTGGGCACGCTCCTGGGGACAGCTTGTCCTGTCCCAGCAGCTCCAGTTCTCTCCCAAAGTCCCGTCTCGCGCCTGGAAGTGCCGGGATGGGGCAGGGAGGGAGGATGCCAAACCCTCCATCCTGCCCCGAACAGGTCTCCTGGGTGTATTTTGCAACTGGGATTTGCTGCAGAGCTTGGCAGTGAGATGTGGGGGAAAAAAAACCCCTGTGACATCCCTAATCCTTCTGATTTCCCTTAGCTGGGGTTGAAGTGCCCTGAAAAAGAGGCTGCTTGGGGTTGCAAGGTTTTATTATGAATAGGGTGGTATTTTGGATATGGTGACTATGGTGCATGGCTCAGCCTTGTTTTTGAACCCTCAGGGTGCTCAGGGCCTGGATATCATTAATATAAAACCAGCACCTCTGTCGAGGTCCCAGAGGCCAGGAATTTTTAGTAGAACACCTCCCCCTCTCTAGGGAAAAGGATAGGAATGGATGAATTCCACCCAGTCCCTTTTACAGGACTGCCTCCACCCTGCCCTGTGTTTCCACATTTTGCAGGATGGGAGGAAAGGTTTTTGGGGAGGAGGATAAAACACTGAGCAAGGACAGGGCCTGCATTCACCTCCTTCCTGCCTCTGCTGCCGAAGCCTGGAGGCTCTTGGAGCACCTCCCTGGGTGTTCCTGGTCCTCACCACTCCCTCCACGTCCCAGGGGTGACATTTGATCTCCCACAGGTATTATAAGGGTTGACTTAAGGCTTTTCAGAATTCCCTGAGACACAAACTGTGGGGTCAAAGCGCAGGGAAATCCAGCAAAATGTTCCTTGTTTGGATCTTCTCCTTTCCCAGGCCCCCCCTCCAAAATTGTAAGTGCAAACACTAATAACAATAACAATAATAATAATAATAATAATAATTTTTTTTCCCTTCTCCCCCTCTCCCACAGCACCTGGCATTCTGATGGCATTAGTAAGAAGGGTTTCATTCTGCACCCTGCCTAAAATGCTGGTTAAACCTGTCCTGGAGGAAGCTGCTGGGTTACATAAAGGGGTGAAAATGCCACCTCTTCATTGCCACCGTATCGGGGTAATTACCAGCAGGCTGGAAAAAACTCGGCATTTACCTTTTCCACGCTCACCTTCCCTGCTCTGGTGAGAGGCTTCACCTGTATCTGGGGCACAGGAAGCAGCAGAGCTCTCCCAGGGCTTCGGGAACAGGGAAATTACGGCTAAAAGCTAAAATAGAAGGAGCAGACAAAGGGGGGAAGAAAGCTTTGTTCTCCCCATTTTCACGGCTGGGGAACAGTGGCAGCAACTCCCCTGGGTCAGGCAGAGAATTAAGTGACTGAACCCAATATGGAATGAGCATCCTCACCCTTTAAAAATATCCCACCTTTATTTTTGTTTGGGTGGATCCCACATCTGGCTTTTTACTCGGCTTGTGAAGTGCAGGTTTATTTTCACCACCTCCCCTACGCCCTCCCCCCCCCCACAGTCAGGGACATTAAAATGTGTGAGAAAGTGCAAATCCTAAATTAGCTCAATATTCACATGTTCCTTAATTATTGATGAAACTCTCAGGCTCCCAAGGGGAGTTTTTGCACAGACAGCTGGGGGTTCCCAGCAGAAGAGCTGCAGTTCCCAACCCTGCCCACCGCCCATCCTCCCTGATCCCACCAGGTTTTCCCCAGGGATCGCTACCTGCACCATTTATTTTCTAGGAAAAAGAACCAGAGCTTTTCCATTATACAAAAAAATGCAGGCAAAAACCCCAAAGATGCTAAAATTTTCAGCAAGCACGCATGGTGCCGAATATTTCTCCTCTTACTATTCTTAAAATGCTGCTTTAAGTTAAAAAAATATATATATTTTAATGCCTTTAGGTCAAAAGAAACCAGCAAGAGTTTCCCTCTTATGGTTTAAAATTTATAAAAATGGATTAAGATATGAACAACAAAAAAAAAAAATCTTTGAGTGACTCAGAAGCAGATTTTAAGTTCTCACTTGCTGAGAAATGGAGCTTCAATTTGTTTTTTATAACAATATTCCCAATTCTGCCGCCACAAAAATGTACGTTTTCCTCTATTTCCCAGGCCCACGTAACTAAAAGTTTGCTGATCCAAGAAAAAAGATGGTTTATCCCTGGATGGGACAGGTACAGAGACAAAAGCCTTGGTTGTTGCCCCAAGTTCTCTGAGCTCTGAACCTTCCTGGAGGTTCCTGCTCAAGGAATGAGGAGGAATTAAGCAAAGGATGGCTTTGGGTGCCCACAGTCCTTATGCTGCTTGAGGACACACAATTCCAAGATCTTTTTTTTCCAGCTAGGCGTGATGCTGGGCAGTGCTTCCAAGAGACTTTGTGTGGTTTTCCTCTCTTCTTGGAGCTTCCTTCCTCCTCTTGGTGTTGGCAGGTTTGGAGGTTTTGTGACGTAAATGGTGCCTTTTGAAGGTGGATCCTGCAAGAATTTCGGTCTCGTGTGTTTAAACAGGACAAACTCGGTCCGTTCCATCGGAGCAAGAGGCTCATTTTTGTTGCTGAGTTGAGGCAGTGAGAACCAGGGCTGCCTAAAGGGGAATTGCACTCAGGAACACGATACTGGGGCTGTCCTCAAATGCATTTCAGAGTCACAGAACCATTTAGGTTGGAAAAGATCACTGAGCACAACCATCCCCCAGCACTGCCAAGGCCACCACTGACCCATGTCCCCAAGAGCCACATCCATATGGCTTTTAAATCCCTCCAGGGATGGGGACTCCACCAATACCCTGGGCAGCTGTGCCAGGGATGGACAACCCTTTTGGTGAAGAAATTGTTCCTGATATCCAACCTGACCCTCCCCTGGTACAGCTTGGTGCCATTTCCCCTGGTCCTGTCCCTTGTTCCCTGGGAGAAGAACCTGAGTCCTTCCTTGCCTTCTCCCTCCTCTCAGGTTGTTGCAGAGAGCCAGAAGGTCCCCCCTGAGCCTCCTTTTCTCCAGGCTGAGCCCCCCCAACTCCCTCAGCTGCTCCTGGTGCCCCTTCCCCAGCTCCGTTCCCGTCCCTTCAATTCACAATTTCCAGCTGCATCTTGGATACCATCAAATGGACTCAAATTCACCTAAACCCAGGGTAAGTGGCTATGAATCTTTAAAAGTGTCTTGCATTTATGCTTTAAACTCCCCCTGGTTGTTACTATAGGGCACTTGGGGACATGGGTCCAGTGGTGGCCTTGGCAGTGCTGGGGGAACAGCTGGACTCGATGATCTCAGAGGGCTTTTCCAACCCTTAGGATTCAATGACTCCGTTTTACACTGGCTGTGTGTAAAGCACTGGAGATAGAATGCCTTGGAGGGAAGTTCCAGGAATGGTGCCTGTTCCACACATCTGGGTTGTCACAGAGTGCACCAGTGTGGTGTCCCACCCTTGGCTCCAAGGAAAGCTCCAGACACACCAAGACCAAAACTCCTACAGCCCATAAAGCTCACGCAGACTTTGCTCTAATGCTAATACCAGGACAATTTTTCCATGGCCTCTGCTTCCCAGGATAGTTCAGTGCTTGCAGGATTTCCAAGCCCAAGGCACCTCTGCTACTGCTGCTCTGAAAACTGCACTTGCAAACCACGTCAGGTTTGCATGTGGAGCCCCCTGGGAATTCCGAGGATCAAAGCAAAGAACAACCCCTAAACCTGCAGAGAATGGAGAATCCATCACGTTGGAATGTTCCCAGTGCAAAAAGGAAAATCATCTTCTCTGTCTCTGGTGACCTGGGGTTACCAAAACTGAACACGTTTCAGTATCTCTGCTGCGTGTCCATCGTTCCCCGCTTGGGCAGGAAAGCAGAGCCCCATTTTGCTCAGTTTCTAGGTAATTCCACTGCTGGAGGAACATCATTTTTGTGCTGCAATGTGGGAGTACAATGGGTAAATTAAGGACAATGGAGAAATGTGCCACAAAAGACCCCGTAGTTTAAAAGTCTGATTTTCGCGGAAATGAAACCAAGTCGTTCCTTTTGTGCTCGCATTCTGCTAATTCCACCACTTGGGCAGTGATGTCATTCTTTTTCTTATGCTTTCTAAAAAAGACCTTCTTGCCAAACCAGGGTTTGGTTAAAACTGAACTCACAACCCACTACAAACAAACAAACAAAAAAAATCAAATATAATTTATTACTTCGAAACATGTTCCTGTTGTTCCAATTTCACTGGGCAGTATCTTGTAAGAAGAGCCTTTCGTTTGAGCAACACATTTGAGGGCTGACCACTAACACAGAGCAGGGCACTTAAATGAATTGCTTGTGTCAAATGCAAGCAATTTATGATTTATGATTATTTATTTGTTATGATCCTCCCCCCCCCCCAAACCACATGCAGAGCTTGAGGCACATTAAAATCCCACATTTCCTGGGATAAAGTGCCATGCATTTCTTGTAGAAAGAGAGGATCTTCCATTTGTAGCTGATACTTCCATCTGAGCCAGATTTAAATCCTGGGTATACTGCACTTAACTGCAGGGACACCATAAATTTAAAGATTTATTCCAGGAATTTCATTCTTTCTGTAACTGGCACTGGAATGTGGCCAAACACCCATAAGAATTAGCACACAGAAACTGGAAGATTAATAGAGGGAACAAACAAACAAGCCCAGCAGGATTTGGAGAAGGAAACCTTATTCCTTGACTAGCACCTTTTGGAATTGAAATCCCAGAGAGGCTGTGAAGTTCAGCTGCTTAAGAGTTGAGTTAAAAAAGAAAAGAAAAAATTAATTAGAAACAATCAGGCTTTTGGATTCTAACAAACAAAAATTCAAACTGGGAAGTTCAGCTGCTTAAAAGTAAAAAAAAATAGAATTGCAAACACTCAGACTTTTGGATTCTACTAATAAAGAAAAATTCAAAGAGGTAACACAAAGATAATTTTTTCACCTCAGTCATGGAGTTTACTCCCAACTTCAAAGCAACCTGATGGCATTAATTGGTAGATCATTTAAGGAAGCCAGGAACAAGCAGGATTATATTGGATAATAATTGTATTTCTCCTGAAAAGGAGATGCTACAAGGGTTAAAAACCACTGGCATGTGATGTGAAACACAGAGAAAGGCATCTTGTTCTCCCATACAATAAGTAAAACTACAGTAATTTTGCAGCAATGAATGAGCATGTCCTGAGGGCAAAAAAAAAAAAAAAAGGTGCACTGGAAACCAAGAGATCTTAAAAAAAGGAAGAGTTCAGCTGCAAATCAAACACCCAAAGCCATGTGGTCTGTGCTGCAGATGAAGTTCCTTCCACTGGACAATAAAGGCAGCTAAAGGAAATTTTTTTTCCTATTAACATCTGCATCTTGACAATGTTTCTCAAACCACGTTAAGCAACTCCACTGAGCTAAGACAATATAAAAATGTACCCATTTTATTCAGCAGAGCAGCCAATGGGGTGGTTTAGATTTACACTGATGAGACACAGCCAGGCCTTAATGAAATGGGCAGCTCATGGATTTGAATTCTGGATTGGGCCAGGACAACTGGCTGGATTTCAGGGCTGTGCTGTCCATTTGCTGTGGCCAAAGGAATATCAGAGCAGGACATCAGGATGGCAAATTCCACCACTTCCAAGCTCACCCATCTCTCCTGACAGCTCTTAACTGAGAGATCTGAACACATCAAAATTCATGCTGACTGTTCCAAGATCTCACACAAAACTTCTCCTGGCAGTGCTGAGTTCCAGCCTTACTTAATTCCAGGCTCACAATTTGAAACAAGTTCTAATTTGGTTATAAATCTGAATTGCAAGTTTTCAATGTGGAAGTGGCAATGCTAATGACTGTGCTTTGAAAATCTACTGGTCTCCTAATTTCAGAAAAAAACAACTTGCTCTCTCCAACTTTCTGAATGCCAGATGCATCACTGAGGAGACCCTGAATATTGCCTGAGAATGACAGATTTAGATTTGGTTAATAAATGACACATTTAGATATGGTTAATAAATGATTAATACACATCTAAGTAAGCAGAGATGGTTGATACACGGTTCCTTTAGCTCTGGTGCAAAGTTACAACTGTTTCACCACAGTTAAACAACTGGTCTGAAAACACAGGGAGGCATTTTTATTTCATCCTCTAGTACTGACACTCAGCTGTAAACCTTTAATCAGGGTAAGCATTTTGGGAAGAAAAAAACATTCATTTTAGTTGTAAAAGGAGATCAATGAAAAAAATTAGACATTGCTTTTCAAAAAATCAGTGAAAAAACACAAACAGCTTTGCAAACCCCCTCCTGTTTCCAGAAGCAGAGCTGGGCTCTCACAAGTGAAAATAACTTTAATAAAAAAGGCAGTGGTTTTTTTGGTACTTTTTCCTGAATTGGGAAAAACACAGTTGGTGTGAAGCAGCAGGAAGTAGTTCCCTGCCTTTCACAGTCTGAATCACGTGCTGGATCCCTTTTTAACATGGCACTGAAGCTCATGTTGGCCCATCACCACGTTCTCCTTTGGAAGAGACACTTGAACCCAGGCTGTGGTCCCAGCTGGAGGTGGAGCACCGTGTTCTACCCTGGGGCACAACGTGTTTGCTGCTGAGTTTACCCAGAGTCCTCCTCTAATTCACCTCAGAGTGAGTCTGAAATGGTTAAATGTGCTTGCAGTGCTTCTTTTTCTTCCTGGGAGCTCCTTCCACACACTCCTCCACCTCCTCTTTTTGCCTTTTGTGTTTCTTCTTACGGCGTTTCTTCTGCTCTTCCTCCTGGTCCTTCACACCCAGATCCTCCCCATCAGCTATTCCCACATAAATTTCTCCATGGCCCATATTTTCATCACAGCTGGTGTTTTCCCCTTTGTGCTGCTCTTTATGTTTCCTCTTCTTTTTCCCTCTGTGACATTCATTTAATGGAGTACCCAGTTCCTCCCCATCTAAACCACTCGTCTCGGGCTCTTTCTCGCAGTGCTCTGTCCTTTCTGCCTCCTCCTCTCTCTTCTGCTTCTTCTTTTTCTTCTTCACTTTGGTTTCCAGCTCTTCCACAGGATCCAAAGCTTCATCAGCTGTCGGGCTGGAATTATCCACCTTTGTTTCTGGTTCCTTCTGGGATCCTTTCAGCTTTGCCATGCGCTTGGCAAAATACTCCTGCACAGTGAGAACGCTCTTCACTGTGTTGGAACCATCTGCAGGGTCAGAGAGCCAGCCCTTGCTCTCCTTGTCTTCCTGAGACTCAGGATCAGTGATATCCTCCTGCAAGTGAACAAAGAGAAGCAGGAGTGAGAGTCAGGAATAATGGCTTTAAATATAAAGCTGATTTCTGCACGTTCAGAAGAAAAATATTGCAACGCGGTGCTTTGAAAATTAACTGTAAAAGTGTAGGCTTGGGTGGAAGGGAGGCAGCCCTGATGTAAAAGATGCTGTAGGTTTAGAGGTGGAAGGATGGAAGGCAGTGAGAGAACACAAAACAAGACAATTTTCAGTTGGTTTGAATTCCTTATTTAACCTACTCCTATGCAACTCAGGCAGATTGAGGTTACTACCACCACACTCAGCATGTTCCACCCCCCTTACAAAAGCACATATCTCTGCAAGACATAAACCAACAGGAGAAATAATCCAGCACAATCTATTAGCCCATGGCACAAAGGAAATCCCATGCCTGGTATCCCTCTCCAGCAAAGGGCTCAAGATCCAGGGAGCAATCCAGCACTGAGGCATCTCTTCCATCTTATCTGATCCTCTGAAATGTTTGTTTCGAGGCTGCTTCGCTGTCATTGTGTCCCAGATGTTGTTATTTAAACAGGCTCCATTTGATCACAAGTTATCAGATGGCAAAAACAACATCACAGGTTACATCTTACAAGGCTTCTGCAGACGTGAACTGAGGAGTTGCTCGACTCTGGTTGCAGGTGAGGAGTTATTAAAAAGAGTCTTGTATCTAGAAAGTAAATACACAACTAAAAGCAAAGTATCGCTGTGGAGTGGATGTTTTGTATGGCACGAAGAGAACTGACTCTGAAAAAGCAACAAATTGAAAATATGCAATTTGCTAAATTGTCTGGGATTTACAAAATAAACAAGCCAAACGGGCAGCTGAAATTAAGCCTTGTTCACATACATACCAAAGCACCCAAAAAAAAAGCCTTTGTGGTTTTTGCTTGGCAGAAGTCACAAATGACTCTTGGAAGCGTCCCAGATTTTCAAAGAATCACAGGATCATTAAGGTTGGAAGTGGCCTCCAAGATCATCAGGTTCAACTTGTGACTGATCCCCACCTTGCCACACAGCCCAGAGCACTGAGTGCCACATCCAGTTGTTCCTTGGACACCTGCAGGGATGGGGACTCCACCACCTCCCTGGGCAGCCCCTTCTAATGCTTGAAAACCGTTTCCATGAAGAAATTCCTCCTGATGTCCAACTTGAACCTCCCCTGGCACAGCTTGAGGCTGTTTCTTCTCGTCCTGTCCCTTTTTTCCTGGGAGCAGAGCCTGATCTCCCTCCTGTCAGGGAGTTGTGGGGAGCAAAAAGGTCCCTCCTGAGCCTCCTTTTCTCCAGGCTGAGCCCCCCCAGCTCCCTCAGCTCCCTAATTTATTTTTAAGCCTTGTTCACACTGCAGGTAACCAAACACCCCCCTCTGGATGGGAAAAGCTGAGCAGGTCAGGTTGGAGTAGAATCCTCACCAACATCTGCCCTACAACCTGTTCTTGAAAGGGAGCTAAACCACAGCTATTACAGCCAAATAGGGTGAGTATGACTGAGATAATTCCCTGGTTTTCCATTCATAAATGCACAGAGAGATAAGAGCATCCACTCCACCCACGCATCCTGAATGTGAACTGGAGGGACTATAAAACACCACCAAATCAGGGCAGCAATATTTTACAGCCACTTTCACTGCCATAAACTGATACCCAGGGAAGGCCAGCAGAGAACTGGGAGATATAAACCCACTTATCTCCACACTTTACAGTTATTGCACGATGGTGGAGATAAGTGAGCTGGTTCTCTTCGGGGCATCGTTAAACTTGCTGCCTGAAGTGGGGTTTATCAGGGTTTGGGAGGAAGGTTTTCCAGGTCTGACTCCTTCTTGCATCCATAGCCCTTTACTCACATCAGCAGGAATGCAAAAATTGGTGTCATTAGTGATGCATTACGAGTGGATTTCCTCATACATCTGCTTTCAGGAGAGCTGTTCCAGTGGAACGAAAGTAAGGCTGCACTTGAGATTCCAGGAATGTTTGTGTGGGCACTTATCAAAATCAGGTACTTTTCTTGTAGGAATATGTTGTAGTGTTCCTGCAGGTTTATGGAGTAACTGAAACTATTTGACTTCTGGCAGAGAAGCCTGCAAAAGAGATGTTGAACATGGGGAAAACCAGGATGTGTCCACACACATCCACATCCAGGTGACATTTGAAAGGGGAGCTGCAGCAGAAGTTTGATGAGACAGAATTCCCAGGATAAATGGTTTGACCTATGTTTATATATGTTTAATAAAACCTACTTCCTAACCCAGCAAGCACAGAATCCCAGTCCATCACTGAATCATTTAGGCTGGAAAAGACCTCCAAGATCCTTGAGTCCAACCTGTGCCCCATCCCCACCTTGACACCCAGCCCAGAGCACTGAGTGCCACGTCCAGCAGTTCCTTGGACGTGTCTAGGGAGAGGGACTCCACCACCTCCCTGGGCAGCCCTTCCAATGCCTGACAACCCTTTCCATGAAGAAATTCCTCCTGATGTCCAACCTGAACCTCCCCTGGCACAGCTTGAGGCTGTTTCCTCTTATCCTGTCCCTTTTTCCCTGGGAGCAGAGCCTGATCCATCCCCAGTTCCCCCCTCCTGTCAGGGAGTTGCAGAGAACCAGAAGGTCCCTCTGAGCCTCCTTTTCTCCAGGCTGAACCCCCCCAGCTCCCTCAGCTGCTCCTGGTGCTCCAGCCCCTTCCCCAGCTCCGTTCCCTTCCCTGGACACGCTCCAGCCCCTCAGTGTCTCTCTTGTCTGAGGGGCCCAGAACTGTCCCCAGCCCTGGAGGTGCCCCAGCAGTGCCAGCACAGGGACAGGCACTGCCCTGGCTCTGCTGCCACACTACTGCTGATACAGTCCAGGTGCCATTGGCCTCCTTGGCCAGCTGGGCACACCCTGTCTTGTGTTCAGCTGCCATCAACCAGCAGCCCCAGGTCCTTTTCCAGCTTTCCAGCCACTCTGCCCCAGCCTGGAGCTGCAGGGGGTTGTGGTGACCAAGTGCAGGACCCGGCTCTCGGCCCTGTTGACTCTCACACCACTGGCCCGTGGATCCAGCAGATCCAAACCTGCTGCCCTGCTAAAGCACAGTGGAACAGGGCATTTTCCCTCTACCCACAGCAGGATTTGGACACCCTGGATTGCAAAAGGGCAAACAGTCTCCCAGGTTTTCAGCCTGAACAGTTTCCCTCCCCACCCCAAGATGTAAAACGCACTTGGGACCAGAACACCACATACCCCCTGGCCAACCAGGAAAGGATTTTCTCATTCCCTTGGTGACTTCCAAGTCCTGACAACTTAATTACTGTAATTGAAGGCAAATATTACTTGAACTCTACGCATTTCTTTTTATAAAATACATTAGGCATAAAAACAAATGTTCCTTTGGTTAAGCAGAGGAGTTCAGAAGGTTTGCACGAGCCCAGAAAATAAGAACCTTGCTCAGAAACTCCTTTATTGATAAGAATTTTAATAACCACGGGCCACTGAGCACAGAACTAACAGGGCATGGAGACAAGCAAAGAGGTGCCAACCCTAGAGAACCTCTGGGTTTAGGAGAAGCTTATGTAAAACCATAAATCACCTGGAAGGGCTGTTAAATGCCAAAGTGTTCCCGCTTCCGTGATGTACCTGTCCTAGTAGCCATGGGAACCCTGCTGAACTCCAAACATGGCTTTTCTCTAACCTCTCTCAGTTTATGCAATTCTCCCCCCTTCCTTGACCCAACACACACATAGAAAAAAATTCCAACAAAAATAAGAAATGCATCCTTAAATGTGCCTTGTGCTGCTGCAACTTCTGAAAAGCAATTTTTCACAAGATTAAGGACACTCCTATACCCCTAAAAAAATGATGGTCATGTAAAAGGGAAAGAGCAATTGTGCTGTAACTGGTGGAAAACCTGAAAATTTGGAGCTCCATGAGTTCCAAAATTGCCAATGAAAAAGTTCTGAAAAGATGAATTAAAAGGAATTGGGAATCCTGGTCTCTGGGGAATTGGTGGGATGGTTCCAAGCAGGAGAAAACAACTGCCTGAAACGTGATGTTAAATGTGGAATGATTAAGAGGAAACAATAGGAAAATTCAAGGAGAGGTTGGGAAGGGCACAGGAAAAGATGAAGGTCAATTACAGCCAGAAGTCCCCTGTAAATATCATCTGTTTATGTAATTAAATGTATGGAAAATAATCTGAAGGACATAAAGCACTTTATGTACTGCCGTGTTTGCTTCACTTGCTGATTAAATCATTAAGTCAGGACACTAAACTTATAGAGGGGAAATCCTGGTTCCCTTGAATCCTGCAGGATCAGGATTGCATCTCCAAGGCATCACACTCTGAAACTACCTTCCAGCCACAGTTATTTAGTGAAAGAAAACACAGAGGATTATGATTAATTATCAAAGCAATTCACATCACATCATGAAAACAGCCTGGCAAGAGCAGAAGGCTGAAGTGGAAAGGATTTAGACACCTCATGAAACCCAAGCTGGTCTAGTGGAAGGTTCCCTGCTCGTGGCAGGGGGTTGAAATGAGATGATCTTTAAGGTCCCTTCCAACACAAACCATTCTGTGATTCAATGATAATTAATATTCAAAAAGTAAAACTGCACCTGCACGTTACTCTGGGAGGAAAAGTGAGATAGAACCAACCAGCAAAGCAAGGGGTGTCGGTACACGAGCAACTGAAGCAGCTTGGGTTAATTCAGACTCTTCAGAATGCAAGTATGTCTTTTCTAGCACTTAAAAGCTTAGAATAGGGGAATAAAAAAATCTCCTATACCATCTCAGATATGCTATGTATGAACTGCTGTTATTTAAGCCTTTGCTTCCTCATTTGGAAAGGAGGGGGTACTAACTCACACCAGTTTTGTGAGCTCCAATTCACAAAAACGACACAAAAAGGCAAAGGCAAAATAAATCTAAACTCTAATTTCAGTAGATTCTCACTTAAGTGGGCTGGATGAAGAACATGGAGCCTGAATTACCTGGAAAACACATGATAGATAAT